AACTAGCCACATAACAATCTACTATGAAATCTTGCGAGGATTCTGACAATGTGTATGTCAGACAGAACTGAATATGCTTGTGTGTATATGTAAGCATGTGTGTGTGTGTATCTGTGCCAGCAGCCATCCTCCAAAAAAGGTTTTGATAAAAAATTAATTGAATTAATAATTACCAATTAAAATTAATTATCTGTAAAATCAAGTATCCCTCTTATAAAATTAATTGATTTCCATGTGCATATGCCACCATTTTTTCATAAACAAAAACACACATTTCCATCTCTCTTTCCAGTAAAAATAGTAAAGAAGATAAAAGCAGGATGTAGATAGGATTAAGAGGAAAGGTAGCTGCACTGGGGGGAGAAGGAAATAGGGAGGAAGAAAACTGTATGGAAGAAGATGCTCTAATAGAATTGTTTGTCTGTGGTGTTCAGTGTATAACTAACAACTGAAATAATTAAAGTGTCACTTTTACCATAAGAAATGTAGTAAGAATATTACATTTTGAAAAATATTGCATTAAATCTTTATTTTTGTTTTCAGGCTTTTCTTGCACAGTGTGATACAGTGGAAGGAAGTATTGGTCAAGAAATGGATAAACTACACTCAAAGAATATGGTCCTTGCAGAATGAAGCACTTTTAAGTAACTAGGATAAATAATTGCTCTGTGAGCAGGAAGAAGAGTTTGCTCTTGATTCTGGAGCAGCTGTTCAAGTGTTCATAATTTTATTTTTAGCAGAGTTCAGTGAGCGTGTTGCATGTTAGCTATAGCTTATTCATCAATATGTATTCTGGTTGTGTTTAAGGGTAGTCTTTACAAAAAAACCCCCCCTCTAATCTCCATTTTGTTCATTTTTTTCTTTGCTATAGACCAGTATATCTTTGTATGAACATTAATGTTTCAGCTATTGTAGTTTCAGCATTTTTATTCATTCTATCTTTTAATAACTATTTTTATGGATGTTGTACAATCAAATCAAATATCTTTTATCATTGTCACGGAAAATAAAATTCATCTGTAACACATTAAGATGAATTTCCAACCACGTTATACTGAACATATAACTTCCTTATGTTAGATCATCAGAGTAAGTGCCCTATTGCAATCTGCAGTTAATAGTGAGTCAGTCCTGCAGCCATGAGTTTGGCTACAATGTTAAGCATACCATTCATAGAACATATCTAGATACCTAGGGAATAGGACTGAGAAAAAGAGGAGAGTATTATAGGAGTATGCTAGGAGAGTATTATAGGAGTCTCTGTAGAGGGCACAGTGAAATGGGATGTGAGCTAATGTCTCCACAGTAGTTTTTTTATGATGCATTACTTCCAGGAAGATCAATAACAGCAAAAATAAATAATATGTGTAGCTCAGGCTGACATACTGTGTTATTTTTAGATTGCAGGAGATTTGGGTAGTGAAGTTTGTTGGCTGTCAAGAGTTATATACATCATGTCAGTTATATACATGCTTGGGTGGGATAGATAAACAGGGCTTTCAGACCCAAATTGTCATCTGAGGTCATAGTGCAAAAGGCTTGAATGAGTCAAAAATAAAGAAAAGGAAGAACATTCCAATATGCCATTAAATATATTATATGCTAAGCTTCATATTGATGAAGCAGGCCTGAACAACTATACAAGGATTCTGAACTCAAAGAATTCAATGAACAACATAAAAAGATATTAAGTAAGCCTATAACTTATCAGGCAACAGAAAAGCAATAAATCAAATTAAGCTTGGGAAGGCGGAGGCTCAGATGGGCTCATAGCTCAATAATATAAAGAACTGGAGGATGAACTATTATAACTGTTGACAAAACAATGAGTGAAATTAGAGACAAAGGCAATATCATAAAGGTGGGAAGAAGCAATTTGGATATATAGGGAACAACTCAGAGATACAGTCACTACAGTCATAATAGACCAATCTCCTTATTGAATGTTGATTACAAAATTTTTACTACAATATTAGCTGCATGTTTAAAGAAGTATGTGCCAGATATAATACATATGGACCAAACAGTATATTCCCAAGGATAACAGTAGATGTATAAAAATGCAATAGTATAAATCAGTAACAAGAAGAAATAAGTAATAATTTTTCTAGATGAAGAAAAAGCATTTGACAATATGGAATGGCTATTTCTATTTGCAGTACAGTAGTCCTCACTGAATGATCATTACGGTGCTGAACGAAGGGACTTATGACCTGTACCTGAAGTTACGGTGATCTGGGCCCTTGGCATTTGGTTCACCCTTACAACCAAGCCAAGTGTCCTGCAATCATGTGATTACCATTTGCAATCTTCCCTGCTGCCTGCCAGGAAAGCCAATGAGAAAGCTGGCAGGGAAGGTCACAAGCCATTGCTGCCTGCTGAGAGGACTCCCTCTCATCTCTGAGGGCTGCCTGAAAAAGCTTCATGCTGAAATCCAAGCACGAATTTGGCACAGGGCATTTTTAGGCAGCCCCCAAAGCTCCATGCACATTAGGTGTGGCGCAGGATGTTTAGTGCACAGAGCTTTGGGGGCTGCCTAAAAATGCCCTGTGCCAAATTCGTGCTTG